CGTTAACTGCAAAAGCAACAACAAAAAAAGCCCCAGTGTTGTTGAACTCCTGCGGTAGGGGAGTTATTGCAGTTCAGTTCTGCATCTGTTCATCGGACTTCCTGTGGTTTTTCATCGAATCCTGTGATTGGCAGCGCAGACAGTCTGCAGAGTTCTTGCTCTGTCTAGTTTATACCCTCGTCCCAGCCACTAAATCTTGACTTCTGCTTTGTCTGGCAGAAGAAAACAAGACAGGGTGCTGTGGTAGGTTGATTCACCAGAGCTGGTAAGTGGTTTCTGTATTTAAATTGTGCAGTTCGCATCCTCGTGTTAACCCCGGCTCTCAGGTTCTCAGGTTGGTTTGTTTTAAACTAGTTGGGGTTGTCTCTCCTCTGGTAATAACTGGGGATAAATGCAAATAATGGCTCCACTGGACCTATTTACTTCAGGGTAATGAGTTTAAAAACTTAAATAGCAAAGCAAACAGGTAGCAAAGTGTTTTTACGTCTCTCAACACCATCCAGCTGAACAAATACGGATGTGAAGGAAAAATAGGGATAATTTATCCCATGCCAAGACTTTTCCTCTTCTATTAAGTCTTATCATTTAAGATGCCTTAGAGTGGTCCCTCTTTTCAGCAAGTGCTAAGAATCAGATTCATTTGGGTGTCACCAGCTAGGGAGCAAGTGTCTTTCCAGGATTAAGTTGGGCACAAGAGCAATAAAGGGAAGGAAAGGGGGTTTCCACATTGCTGCAGTGCTACGAAATTCCACCTTGGGAATTTTAACCATGATAAGACTCTCTCCAGTGCTGGCTGGGAGTGCCCCAAGACTCCTGTGACCTGGCTGCTTTACAGCTCTCCTGAAACATTCATTCGGTGTCATCTCCTGTCTGTCTGCAGCACATGGTGACGGCTCTGACCACTCATTTGGAAGCAGTACATGCAGGAGATAAATAGCACAGAGCTGAATTTAAACATGCCTTAAACTCCCACCCATCAAGAATCTTACAGCTTTATGGCATCAGTCAAGCTTTTTATGTGGTATTTAACCCCTGCTGTTATAGATTGTTTTAAACTCAGTCTGGTAAGTAAGAACCTTATTGAGGTGACTTAAATTTGATGATTTTTGAATGTTAACAAATTCCGGTTACAGTGAACACCCTAAGAGTGAAACAGTATGGGTAGTGTTTTATCTTTACGGTGGATGCCTGCCATGCTGGTAGATGTTGTAAGGTGCAGTTCTCTCCATGCTGAGCCTATAGGATTTCTCATTTTTAATAGATGAGAAGACATGGCCACCACCCAGCCATGGATCACTGCAATCACCTAAAGAAGCTGGGTTTGAATTACTGACCTGGAATTCAAATCCTCTGTGTCTCGTTAGCAATGCACTGAGCTATTCTGGGCCCACTATTCAGGTGGTCCATCAAGTATCCATCACTTCTGCTATTACTTATGTTCGTCCTATAAAGATACAGTTGAAATTGTGTGTATGTAATTGCATCATGTATTATACCTCTCCTTAAAAATTTTGTCTACATTCCTTGTCTACATTCCAAGATAAACGTGCAGACTGCTCAAGGCATATGTTGAGTGTGAGAGAGTCCAGGCTGATTGCAGTAAATTATAGTCTTTAATCTGAAATTGATTATTAAATTGCTACGGTACGATCACAATAGATGGCAACATTGATCAGTCTGAAGAAAGGCTTGATAATAAAATCAATGCAGGACTGTTACTGCCTGAAAATATGAATGCTATCTGATTTATTTTATGCTGTCCTTTCAGCTGAGAGATAATGGGATAGTAAGAGCTAAGCATCTCAGATGTAGCTATTGGAATTTCTAATGCAGTTTTACCTGCTGTTTTAAAGCTAAAGATGTTTGTTAAGCTGCTTGAGAGCCCAGAATGGTCCAGAGTTCTGCCATAAGTGCTTGCAAAACCAGCAGCTGTAATCTGTGACCTTGAAGGTGAAAAATAGTTGTGTGTTTCATTCAACTCCAATGAGCATCTTTAATAACTTTTTTACCTCCTTCCCTCCCAGAAGGACTACTACAGGCTGCAGTACTGGCGTGTAGCCACCTTTGGGGTGAACAGTGGCAGCTGTGTAAGGGCTTTTCTCTGCTAGGAAATGCTGCAGTGGTTTAATCTTAAGGTTTAACCATTCATTCTGCTGATGCAATGCTGAACTGAACTTGTTCCTGTCTATACTGACCACAAGGCAGGAAGCATTTAGGAGGGAAGTGGGGAAGATTATACTGAGGATAAGCAGGGTAGAATATCATCTTAAAATAATAATAATAATAATTAAAATCTACATGAGGGCTTACTTGGAGATGGGCTTAACCTACCAGAAGAGTCATGGGATGGTGTGGCAGAGGGGGAAGGCAGGCACAGCTTGAGGGCTTGGAGCCAAGGTGGGAGGGGATAGAGGATGTTAATGAAAAGGAGGATCTCACAAGGCTGATGAGCAAAAAGAAAACTTGGCAAGTGCAGAACAGAAAGATTTGCTAAAGAGTCCTATAAAGATGCAGTGGAAGGAAACTGGAGATGAGAGAAGGCCAGGAGACAGAAAATGAGATATGGGGGTGAGTATGGGTGCAAGGTATCATAGAGTGAGGAAACAAGATGATGCAGAAGATTAAACAGGCTGATAAAAACAGATTTGGGAAAGAGAGGTTGTAGACAGGTAGTAGAAAATGGTTTAGGTGCACAAAAGGGCCGTGAGAGAGCTTCTCTACCACAGACTGCATGACTGATGCAGGAAACGAAACTTGCTGATGTACCTTTGAGGTTCTGGTCTTTGAACTCAACAGGAGTCAGATGCAGAAGTCCCTTTAACAACCTTAACTTTTAGCTGCCTTAGTTCCTTAAATAGAGATGATAGTGCTAGAAACAATACTGTCCTCCTTCCATCCCGGGTTGCTATTAAGGATGAGCTCTCCACACATTCTGAAGTCATCCAGGACTGTAAAGACAGCCACACCAATGGCCAAAATGATTCCTCCCAGGCTAAAGACTGGCATCCAGCCAAACAGAACTGTGGTGAAGGGCCTCAAAAGCCAAACAGAGGCAGCTCCAGGACATTAGAGCATGCTGGAAGGTGACACCAACATCCTCATCGGTGGAGCCGATGGCACGTCATCACCCAAGGCTGTGGTTGAGTGGAGCTGAAAAGGCTGTCCATGGAGACATGTAGGAGCTGGCACATTGTCACCTGTGGTTGAATGAAGCTGCCCATGGAGACATCTGCATAATGCAGGTGGCACCTTTGTGGCTTGGTGTAACTGTATGCTCAGTGTTTGCACCAGACTGCTCCAGTAACAACAGCAGCACGAGGAAGGAGTAGAGCAGTTTCCATGCTTTCCAACTCTGAGAATACAAATAATGTGGGTGTCTAAAAGTTAAATAAACAGCCCTGAAAGGCAAGCGGCTGAGAAGTGCCCCTTCAAAGGAGTCTTTCCAGACAGAAGGGTCTTGTACCCTAACACAAGGAAACAGGACACTCTGAGCTCAAGAAAGATGATAGGGTATCCCTTCATTATTAATGGGCAGAGAGGCTTCTTAGCCATTGCTGTGCTTGTTCTGATCGTGTCACACCATGGAGTTTATTCTTAGTCTCAGCCACAGCCTTATAAATAATAAAATGGGTCATGTTTTATCTTACCCCAGTGATCATTGTAATGTGGCTTTTATCTGAGACTCTGCCAAGCTCTTGACATAGGCAACGTTTAGAAATAGATAAAATGATTGAAGAGCACAATACAAAAGTTGGCTCAGCTCGTCCCCAAAACGCACCCTTACTGAGAGTGAATGCATTGGGTTTGCAGTGTATGTGCTGCTTTGAGAGCGAAGAAATGAGAACACTGGAAAATGGAGGATGCAGTATGTCTGTCCAGTTAGGATGGGCTGGGGTAGTACATTTGTGTGCTGATTCTTAAAGCTGTGTGCTTTGCTTAAAGCTGGTACTGAAAAACAGAGCTTTCGTTGACGTTACTGTTGTCTAGCCTGTAAGTCTTAGGTGGCATAGTTTAGTGTGAGGTGTCCCTGTCCATGGCAGGGGGGTTGGAACTAAGTGATCTTAAGGTCCTTTCCAACCCTAACTATTCTATGATTCTAAGTTCCAGGAGGCGGAGGTACATGAGTACATGGGCAATGAGGTCTATGTGCACAGGTCTTGTAGTTACAGCCTTAAGGGGCTGAAGTAGGATAGACACGATGTGTTGCAGTTGAGGAACTTGCAGGGTCTTGCACTCTTAATTACCACAGTGATGCCATTAGCATGCTCCTAAGCAATGGGAAAGCCAAAGCACAGAGGTAGCTACCTAACCGAAAGTGCAGGAGAACCCGCAGCAAAACTGAAAGTGGCCTCCTGGACCCAGTGAGCTCACGCATGGAACCTACACATTTCCCACCATGCTTCCTGGAGGAAGAGCTATTCTCTCCTGGAAACTTCTGTATCATAGAATCATAGAATAGTTAGGGTTGGAAAGGACCTTAAGATCATCCAGTTCCAACCCCCAATACATGAAGTCTTTCAGAACAGATGGGAAAAAATCAGTTTGCCAGAACACTGAAAACTTATCACAAGATATGTTTATTCTCACAGCATTTCCAAAGAATTGTCCTGCTGAGATGCTGAGTACAATTAATAGCAAAATGCTTTGCAGGGAAAACTGCAGTAAAGAGGTCTGTACATGCACACGCAAGAAGGTTTTTGTGCAGCTGCTAAATATGAGTTTTCCTTTAGACCTTTGTGTTTTGCAAAGGATTCACATGTTTAGTCTTTGTTAACAGGGAAACTGAGTGTGAGTTGAATACAGTATGCTAATGTAGCGTTCAACTCGGAGAAGAAGTCATAAATGATCTCTTCATCCCATAAATGTTTTTGTTCAGGTCTAATGGTTCAGTTCTTCCCACGACTTTCTTCACCAGACCTCAGTGTTTACGTGGCTGCATATTTGCAGACACACGCACTCGCAAACCTTCCCTCAGCGGACTTTGGTTTCTCTCATTGCAGAAGTTCCCCGAGCTGAAGTTCAAGTATGTGGAGGAGGAGCAGCCCGAGGAGTTCTTCATCCCCTACGTTTGGTCCTTGGTCTACAACTCCGCCGTGGCCCTGTACTGGAACCCTCATGACATCCAGCTCTTCACTATGGACTCCGGCTGAAGGAGGTGCCGCAGCCAAGCCAACTCAGCTCCCTTGTCTTACAGAAAACAGAACTCTGCACCGCGTGTTAATACGTGACCCCCTCCAGTGTGCACCCTCTGACCCCACAGCTTTTGGAGAATGAAGCTTGCCGCTAGTGCACAGTCCAGTGTCAACGTCTTGGAAGCAAATTGCCACCAACACGCTGGCAACAGACTGTGGTGCGAGGAACTGATGGCTTGTAGGCAAACCTTGCATTTATAGTCCTGTAACCTAGAGCTTGTTTGATGAAAATGAGGCCTTACACATGGGGTATGATGTTACTACCAACCACAAACCTGATTGTTCTTTTAACTTAACGGGATAAATGAGGAAAGGGATTGCGGACTTTGTTTTGGAAACAGCATTTGTATTCTTGTTTCTTTCAAGTGAGGGAGGTTTGTTGGGTCAAGCTTTCTGTGGTCTGTTGGATTCTGCCACGGGTTGCTCGTCACCTACTCCTGTGCTTTCACTCACAGCCCTTCACTTCGGTGGCACTCTCAAGGCTGTAGACATTAAATTGGTGTCTACGCCATCAACCAAATGAACTAAGCAAGCAGCATATTAATAAGATTAGCTCCCAGCCTGATTTAAAACACTTGATTTAGCTGTCAAAATGTTTGTGGGAGGATTTTCAATAGAAAGTCTTTTTTGTTGTTGTTTTTTGACTGGCAAACACTCGATAGAGGGCTACAAACACCATCTTTTAAAGTCAGGTCCCTTGCAGGCTTGTTTTACTGCGTGTCTGAGCAAAAGTTGTTCCTGGAAATCGAATGTGTGTGTGGGAAAACAAACAAAAAACTCTCCAAAGAAAATAGTTGTAAGATCGTACAATAGAACAGTGTCCTGTTAAAATGGTGTGGGGTGGTGACAGTGTTACGGGGATCCTTGGCTAAGTTTTGTATTGAAAATGCCGTTTGCTATTACAGGGTTTATGGCAGAAGTATAAATTTACCTGAATGTAGAATACTTCTCTTTTGTTGTTGTTGTTGTTTTTAAGTGTCCTTTCCTGGTATACCTGTTTATGCAGTTGGGAGAACAAATGAAATGGCTTGACCTGATTTTGACCGAATATCTCATTTTTCAAGGCGAGGATCGTTTCCTCTCTGGGGAGGCTCCTGATGGTGCCTGTGGCACGTGCATGCAGACACTCTCCTAACCCCACATGCTGCTGTATGGACTGCCACCAGTGCATTGCATGCCAAAACGTAAAAACCAAGGAATTAGCTCCTAAAGATACGTGGCAACCCCTTGTATCCGCCGCCTGCTCCAGCATGTTCTGTTTATTGACCTGAAGAGTTGGGTGCATTTGCTTTCGGAAGTTCTTTGAGTGGCTTTTAATAGAATTTCTTGCACCCTTCCTTTATTTGTCTTTCCCTGAAGGATGAGCTAGGATTGTACTTACCTGCTCGTTTCGAGGTGGGAGTCCACTTAAGTCCTACCCAAATGGAAATGCTGGCTTAAAAAAAACCAAAAGGCAGAAAAGCTTCCCAAATTTATTTAAGCATAGCTACAAAGTGATATGTACAACCCAGGAGCATTTAGGGCTTTAAAATGACAGAAGCTGTTTTAAAAAGGCAATAGTTAAGACTGGGGATGCAGTTTTTCTTAGCAAAATAGGTGGAATGAATGAACCATGACCGAGCTGCACAGAGGTTTGTGCTGTTTTGGGGTTTTTTTTTTGGTCTGTTTTCTTTTGGTTTTGAGCAGCAAACATTGAAAGGGGATAACTCTGCTTGGTTATTGTAGTGATTTGTAATTTCATCTTTATTACAAAGCTCAGAGTGTTTGTGAGTCAGCAGGGCTGCCCGGCTTTGGAAGGGTCAGCCTGAAGATGCACTTTTAAACCGTGGGTTCTGAAGGTACTGGTTGGCTCATTTTAAACCTGATTTAAAGTGCCTATGAGCACTTGAACCTGAGGTGAGCACCCTTCTCCCCACTGCCTGCAGCAGGAGTGAGCACTTCACAAACACTGCCCAGCAGAGGTGATGCATTTCGGCCGGGTGTCAAGCTGGAGAGAACCTGATTCTTCTCTTTGAAAGGCCTTTTCATAAAGGGAAAGGTACATAGAGCAGTAATCTGATAGAATAGGTCAAACCAGCTGCTGAATCAATGAGGGAGTCACGCAGTAAATTATTTCTCACTGTCCTCTTGTTGCAATGACCTCGAGTTGAGTGCAGAAGGAACAGGTTTGTTCCCATCACATAATTTCCTTGTGCATTTAGTTCATATTTAGTGCTCCTAGGGCCTGGCTGGTTTGGAGCAGCTGGAGTTACAATCCAAAGCCCAAACAGCAGAGACAGACCCAAGATTTATGCTGAAATCCAAGCTAGCCCCATTGGCTCTTCCAAGAGTTTGAGCATTGTGTGGGTCTGGCAGCATCCTGATGTCTGCAGTCTGGCACAGTCACAAATACTCCTTGAGATCTGTAACGTACCACATTGGGGATCCTTTTCATGACTTTGTGTGAAAGATTTATTATGCATAATAATAATAAAAATAATAATTAAAACAGTAAATACAGGGTGTTGTCGTGTTTGTTTTATGTGATATCTGGTGCGTGTTGCCGTGTGGCCAGCGAGTCTTGGTGTGGCCATCAGACCTAACATGCACACATGGTTTTATAATGTCTTCCATGATGAGCAATGGGAAGAACATGATTGTATTTGTTGTATTAACTGGGAAGTTGTTTAAATCTGTGCTTGGTGGAAGAAGAGACGTGCTGCAATGTCATGCTGAATCTAACCTAATGGAGGGCTCTTGCCAACTCAACTTCTGTAGTTGCAATAGGTACAATCCCAGCAAGGCCCTGGGAACATGCAGTCATGGGGAGGAGCAGAGGAGAGACAGAATTGTCCCCTTCAGACCAAACTATTGGTGGCTCTTTCCCCTTGTTCTGGCCACACCATTTAAGCACGTGGTGTGTCTCTGGTTTTCAGGGTGTGGGGTGAGTGTTGCACCAGGACCTTACCATTATCATGCTCATATCCTTGTTCCAAGTGCTGATCACCATCTGCCTAAGGTCCTTGAGTAGCGTTGGAGAGGGAAATCCATTGCTGCAGGGCTGGAGAGGAGAAGGAAGGTCTGCTCCATCTTCACTCAGAGAACCGTCCGGTCCAGAAGACCCAAGCTGTAGTGAGGAGGTTGTGCATGTGAAGTCCTGACTCGTGTGTCCCTGATGAAGGAGAAATTGTCCTGCCCCATTTAACTGAGAGCAACTCTGATCTCGCTACAAAAACGAGGTGGTGGGTTGGAAGCTACAGATGAGTTGGGCATCATTAACATTGGCAAAAGCAGCCCAAAAACTTGCACATTTCATGGCATTTCTTGACTTTACTAGCCCAGAACTGAAGAGTTTTAGGCACGTTAAAGGAAAAAAAACCCAAACTATTTTCTATGTGCCTGTTAGGTTGTTGATCTACCAGTTAAACAGGAAACAAGCCCCTCACTTCGCAAATTCTAAAGCTTTTGTACAACCTTTCCTACTGGGCAACTTGATTTTATTCTTGTGTGTGTTAATTCAGCCAACTCGAGGTCAAGCCAAATAGATCAGGTTCTCTCCTGATGGACTGGGCTCAGTCTGTGAAACCACTGGCTTCTGTGCTTGAAGACCAGCAGTTTTCTATACAATTACACTTCTGTAATTCCCCAACCACCATGAATCCTTTCCCATCTTCACCCATTAGCAGGACTTTGGCCACCTTACCCAGGTAGCTGTAAAAAACTGTACCAATCATACCCCTAATACTGTAAAATTCAGGGCCCCAACTGTTTTTGTGTTTCATTTGCTGTTAATTTGGGGGGGGGGGTATTATTATAATTATTATTATTAGATCAGACTATTACTTACCAGGAGCAGTGTTTAAGTTAACAGCTGCACATCTGGTAGGGACAACCTCAACAGAGTTTACTCAGTACAGTCCTGCCCATGGTTGTGGTCTCTCCCCCTCCAGCCCAAGCCCAGATTGGGGTGCTAAGAGCTGGGTCAGGGCATTAATCTTACTAACACCACTCAGTCTGGGGAGCTTTTGCTTGTACTGGAAGTTTCACGAAGGTTTTTAACCTTTGAGGTCTCTGCAGCCAACATTATTGGGTTAAATTCAGTGCCAAGCACATGCCTGCACCTGAAAGGTTCCAGGAGGGCACTTTTCCCTTCAGTTACACAACAGATAAAACTGTCTTCAGCACCGTGACACAGACCCGATCATTGCTATAACATTGCTGGCAGTCAAATGTCAGTTGTCATTTAAAGAGGAGGAAAATATCTACCTGCTCCCTCGGGAAGCTGCAGTCAGCTGGTTGGACAGGAGCAACGACCTCCCCGGCTCCACCACAATGGCCTCTGGATCCATCTGCTGAATCCACCCAGACAGAGAATCCCAGACTGGTCTGGGTTGGAAAGGACCTTAAAGCTCCTCCAGCTCCAACCCCTGCCATGGGCAGGGACCCCTTCCACTGGAGCAGCTTGCTCCAAGCCCCTGTGTCCAACCTGGCCTTGAACACTGCCAGGGATGGGGCAGCCACAGCTTCTCTGGGCACCCTGTGCCAGCGCCTCAGCACCCTCACAGGGAAGAGCTTCTGCCTAAGAGCTCAGCTCAGTCTCCCCTCGGGCAGGTTCAAGCCATTCCCCTTGCCCTGTCCCTACAGGCCCCTGTCCCAAGCCCCTCTCCAGGTTTCCTGCAGCCCCTTTAGGCACTGGAGCTGCTCTAAGGTCTCCCCTTCAGGAGCCTTCTCTTCTCCAGGCTGACCCAGCCCAGCTCTCTCAGCCTGGCTCCATAGGGAAGAACTGGCTGGGGGCAGCCGGTTGGGTTTGCTGCCAAAGAGCTCTTTAAGGAAATTTACTCAGGGCATCCCAAGAACCTGGATGATGAAGCATCAGCTCCTGGACAGCATCCAGCAGAAGCCGTGGTGTCCATCAGCTCTCAGTGCAGATGCCCCCCGAGACTCAGTTCTGCAGGGCAGGATGTCCTGGATGTCACAAGGTTGGTTGTCTGGGTTATGCTGGGCTGGCAATTATTCTGGGCTTGGCCAGAAAGCTGATTTTTAACTCTTTCAGGATTATTCATTGATGGTGCCTGTGCACAGCTCATTCACAACATTCCAGTTCAGCAGCTCTGCTGTGGGGACGGCAGCACTAGGTTGCGTTTGGGGAAAACACCATGAAATCGAGGAGTTTGCCTGGTTTTATCCTTTCAGGAAAGGAGATGTTGGCAGGACATCCCCAGGCTGCTGTGTCATCACCCAGGCACTGCCAAGTGCTTTGATGCAGTCCTCCTTGTACACAAGACATCAGCGTATGTCATTCATTATGCTGATAACAGTTCTGTTGTCGGAAGGTAACGATATTTCAAAGACAAAAGAGCAACTCTTACACCCTCAATCGACCAGGACAGCAGAGCTGTAATTCCTGACTTTGGGTACAACTCATTAGGAGCAGGGCATGGAGGTGCTACCAGCCGTGGAGGCAATGAGTTAGGGTGATCATGGAAGTGGCTGCATGGCTGCATGAGCTTTGGGCTCAAAAGCAGCAACACGTGAGCTACATCCCTCCTTCACATGTCCCCAATGACAAGTTTTGGCATCCCTTCACTGGGAAGACCCGGGACCACTCAGGAGTAAGTGTTGTAAATGCTGTGCTCTTTGGGAGTAGTTAACCCTGAGCTGCAAAGCTCCAGCTGAGATTACAGCACGAGAAGCTTGTAAGCATTTAATCATAGATGCTGGGTTATTGCTGGATGGATGCTTTTCATATGCAAGGGCCATGCCGCTCTCTTGCAAGTGAATTACTGCAAGTAGCCATGTTTTATACTGAAGGCACTGCTACCACCCATGGGTTGCGCCAGCACTTGCATCACTGTGTAGATGAATTAAAATGTCACTATCAGTGAACCCCTCCAAATCACAAATCACATACACCGCTGAGCTGCCAAACTGCGACAATTGGAATGAGAGATGTAGAGAGGAGGGAGATTTTGTTATTATATTTTCATGCTGCGGGAGCACGCAGCACAATTAATCCAAAATGAACATGTCTTGGCAGACGTGATGAAATTTTCAGCTGCACATAATGGTTTTGCCAGCTGTCTTGGCACACTAAATGGCAGACTTCAGTCTTCCTTACAGCCACTTTGTGCTGCTGAAAGCCCTGAATCCGATGGCACCAGCAGAAAAGTCTGTGAGTATCCGGAGAGGAGTGGTGACAAACCCGGTGACGTCCCTGGTGATGCCATCCAGGCCCCTCCTATTTATGGAACAATGAAACAAATGCATTCCAAAGAGCAAAGCAGCTTGTTAGAAACTGGCAATTGAGACTAGGAACGGCTGTCGTCACCCTGCTGCTTCCATTTCTGTCCCTGCAGTCACTGTCAGGGTCCATCCTAGTCCATCACCCGGCACAGCTCCTGCATCCCAGGCTGCAGGGTCCACACCGTGAGTCCTGCCCAGGGTACAGGTGGCATGGGATGCTCAGCCCCATCAGAGATGGCTGTCCCTGTTTAAGGGCTGTATCAATCACAGAATAATGGGAATAAACCAGGCAGGGACAAAACCAGACCTGGATATTTAAGGTGTCTTCCAAACCAAGTTCTTGAGGACCACTAATGGGATGGCCTCTTCAGATGGGGTCTGGGCCAGCAAAACCAGTGTGGAAAGAGGGGCTGCATCCAGGAGAGTATCCCTGGGTGCAGCAATGGCAGCACACTGTGGGAATGGGGAAGAAATAGCGGGCAAGGAATTGGTCATCAAGAATTGCCTAAAAATGTGGGGTTTTCTCTAATCCAGCTCTGTATGTTGTTTTCTTGCTCAGGCTGTTCCTACAGGGGGGAAACCAACCTTGTTCCTTGATACGGGATATTCAGTATCCAGTGTGCTTCAGACTAAACGTTCTGCTTAGTGCCTCATGTACGTGTGTCTGCAGTGCTGAGCACCGGCGCAAGAGAAGCAGCAGAGCCATTTCCACTTGAAACGAAGCTCTCTGTGATGGCTTCAGCAAAACTCCTCAACCTCCTCCCCAGAAAAGCATCTTTGGCGTCTGCAATCTTGTGAGTTTCTCCTCACTGAAATACGAAGTGAAAATTGAATTTAAATTCTTTTCTTTCTCCTAAATCAAATCTCGCAGGCACCAATTGCCCTTTAAAAGGTCAACCTTTTAGCCCACAAAATACATAATCAATACATTATTGACCTAAACAATAGCCATAAACTTCAGACTGCCTTTATCTCCTCACTTGGCTTCTCCTTCTTCCTGACAGAGCATGTTTGGGCTGGGAAAGTGGCAGCTCCTGGTGACAGTGGCATGGAGAGAACTCATAAGACCCCGTGTCCACAGCGGTTCCAGAGGAACACGAGCATCACCAATGCCACACAAGGCAGGACTGCCTCTTTTCTTCCTTTGTCTTTCCTGCTTGCTTTGGTTTCCTGGAGGACACGTTCGTGGTGTGTCAGAGGCCACTTGCCCCTCTTACAGAACCATTGCTGTAGGACCAAAGAAATCAAGTTTAACAGATGTTCTCCCAGAGTC